GAATCGGTCGCAAATGACAGAGAAGAGAAAGATATCCTTGTGGATATTTTCGCGCATTCCAGTGGATGCGGTTCATCGACATTAATAGTGGGAGAGTAGAGAGGTTGCCTCGAAGGTTGCCGCGATTGCCATTCTACGTCTTTTATAATTCTATATTCAGCATGGACACGGCTACGTTTCAGCCGCTTTCTTCGAGCGAACCCGCGCGAATTTCAAACAGGTGGAAGTGGATATCGATAACCTGTTCGACTACCAAGTTGTCTAACAAATTTTCTCTCTGGTCGGTTCTTTCACTACGAAACTTTGATCCGTTAATTTATTAGCCGTATATTTTTATTTTTATAATTATCATAGCCGTATATTTATTTCATTTACACAACGCTCGATTGTAAGCAATTAGAAAGACAAACATCGACGAGAAACAACGCGCCCATATAATCACACGTTCTTCGTGATTTCTGTTTGCGTTACGACTAAAAACATTCATGCTGCTTCATACTGCCGTGTATTTATTATTTGAGTAAATAACTTGTCGCTCTTGGAATATTGCGTGCTAATTATCGTGGTTCAATTAACATTTTCATTTAAAGGATATTATTTAATATATGTTTGGAATATTTCTGATGACATTTTTTACTAACATCATTGACTATCATACAGTATAGTTAATCCTTCTGCCATATACTATAAATCAACTACAAAGTCCTTCCTGTTTTCAAAATCTAATTATTTCTCCTTTAGATATACCATAAAAAGAATTACGAAGACTTTCTTGGTCTTGAAGCTTTCCCTTCGTTATTATATTCTTCACAACACAAACTAATAATGTCATAATATAAATACGCCTCTTTCCTCTTAACTTTCTTTCGTTGTTTACCGTGCATTGCCCAAGTTATAAATCTCCGAACATCATGAGTGCTTGAATGCATCATCACACACGTTGGAATTATACAAAATGTTATTTGCTGTCTTAACGCGTCCTAACGATTCGTCGACACTAAATCATATAATTAGAGAGGCTCGCGATTCAAATGTCGTGGCGCAATCGTGGGTTGTAGCCAGTGATCGTAGAAAAAAGAAACGAGCTTCGATGGCAGGATCGTACTCCGAGCATTCCTATGCAATTATAGTTTCCTTTTATCGTGTTGATCATACACCTGGATCGAGGGATCCGGTTTTACACCGAGCAACGAATGCGTAATGCGTGTTCATTAGCGATCCCGTTGAAAGTGGCTACACGAGGATCTATAATATTCCACGGACATGATCGACTTGCTTGTGTTAAGAACAGTCGGCGATAATATGAGGAACATACACACAGGTAAACGTGTACCCGCGCAAATCGCGAGAATTCCGATTGAATTATTTCGTTATTTTCCAATGAAACGGCCGAACGTTGTGATAGCATTGGTTTACACATTCTCGTGATTGTTAATAATTAATTCTGCATAACGCCATGTCATTTCAACGTTACATGGATTTCGATATACCGGCATTATGTTTTATTTTATTTATCTGTTGTTGTGTAGAAATAGCAGCAATATTTGTTTTTAATTAAAGACTTATGGAAAAATACGACAGCTTCATCTTCGTGGCCTTCCGATCATAATATTACTATTTAGTACAGTTTGGAGGAAACTTAATACGATGGATTTTTTTAAAACAGTGCAACTAATTGTATAGCCTAGCAAATCCCCATATTTTTAAACTAGGATGGAAAACTACTTTTTTCCCTAGCAAAAGGAAATAAAGTTTCTGACTACAATGATTGCTTTGAGCGACCTACGAGTGGATTCGTGAATCCGTTTGAAGCAATTTTTCAGTAACGAATCGAAAATTTCACGAAAAATGGTCCGCGAATGCAAACTACCTGGTCGTTCTACGCGTGTAAACTGGCGCGTGTAACTGCAATCTCGATGTCCCGCTATGCTTTATGTAAAACTGACATATTTTCACGGGACGATATTCAAAATATCTACATGGCAAATTCGTGGATTGGTTTATCTCGCAATGGAACAGGATAGTAACTGTATTACGAATTATGGTACGGCCAACCGGTTTCGTACTGCAATTACTTGTTTGTTAGGTAAATCGATTTCTGAAGTTTCCTAGAAAATGAATTCAGGGAAAATTGAAATAATAGAGGAAATTGATATAGAGTGATTTGCGATAATTTAGTAATACGATTTTGTCAATCGTCATTATCTTAATTATTTTTTAACAAGAACATCGAATGAATATCCTATACGTTGGTAGAATATTATTGAATACAAATACATATAATCTTTTCTTTCTTACAATAATACAGCAACGTATTATTACAATATTTCTAAAAATAATTAAAACAGAGTTAAGAATTTCAGCAGTACAAATGTGCTTAGGAAATATTTGAAATTTTAAATTTGTTTTATATGCAATTCTATAAAAATCAGTCACTTCCTAATAAAATTATAAGAATGTTGTTATACTGATGTTTACAGTATTATATTATTAAAAAATATTACCATTAGTATATAAACGTTTCACACTTCGCGTCAAGGATGCTCAACATGATTCCACTTGTGCTCTGATGTTGTATGTAACTTCGAAGGACGTTGAAAATTGTTTCTCGTAGTGTACTTTAGAATCGCAAATAACATCACACATACGGTTGAATTATATGCATTACGTGCCACGACCAATTTTCTCGTCGTTTTGCCGAGTGAAAGGTAATTTAACAATATCACGGGCCCCGTGTTTTTCTCTCCTCAAAACGTTGCCGACCTCTTCTTTTTTTCATCGTCATTAGCGAGTTAAAGTAACGTGAAAAAATAATAGAAATGAAAGTTTCGGTGCGGGCAGTAACAAATATCAAATTTTAGTACCTTTCATTTCTTTATTTATCTTGATTTTATTTGTAGGTAAATAATGTTGGAAACGCGGAATGCATAAATTCTAACTACACATCTCTGGATACTGATGTCTATAATTCGAGTTTTTATTCCTGGGTACTGGGAAGACAGTTTCGATTTAAATATGAATAAAAAATGGACGCTGATAAATGGTTATCGTGTTCGTTCATCAAAACATTTGTGAGTTCTTGCTACGTCCTTAATCTCCGTTGCGAATAAATACGTTTATTAACTACTGATACTCCAGTCTTTGCTATTTATGATCATTGAATTTTGTTAGCTTTTTTACCACTACATTCTTACTTCGCTAAAGATTTATCCTTCCATATCATTTTTATTTTCATTTTTCCAAAACTAGGAAAAATCCGATAACGTAACTACTAACTAAAACAAAGACAGGATTTAATTTTATCACTGTTTCTTGAAGAAAACATTCTTGAAAAGCATCAGGTTTTATTACGTCTACAAGAAATTGATGCCATTCTCATTATTTTCACCATTAAAAGAGCGTAACAAAATTATCCGACATATAACAATTTCTAAGAATACTATATTTTTTCACGATTTTCCATAAATCGGCCACCTGTCCGCTCGTTAAAGAAGGTCTTTTATTCCCCTTACATAATATGCCAGTTATGCCCGCGCGTGTTCATATACATATTTCAATCCCCTTTCTGATTCTGTACATACATATATCGTGTTGAGTGTCATTATCTCGTAACACCCACGTTTCCCACTGTATACCTACGTGAAGTCTATTACCTTCACCCGATCAGGCATTGTGAATGCAGTATATGTAAATAGAGTAGCTACACGATTGCCGACAAGGTTGTAGAACGGAACGCGCAACACTGTTAGCGTTTACGGGTTAATGAGATGAATTTTACGATGCAATAGACCACCTACGCAACCACGATCGTCCTTAAGATCGTCAATAATCAGTAAATGCATGTGAAATATGAATCGGTGCGCGGGCGAAAATTTGAATTATAATATGCTCTCGTTTCGTCATTAAAAGATATTTCTCTCATGTGTATACATCGCATAGGCATTATTGAAACGTTTTCGTAAAATGTGAATTACATATTTACGCACGTATTTATTTGCTTGAATATTTATGAAAATGAATTTGGCAATTTATACAAATTAAAAATAAATCGAGACAGCGTTAAATTAGCTTGAAAATTTATAAAAGTATACTGCACCGAGTGACACTTGATATTTACGATGCAAGAAGTTGCAGCAAGCATATACGTACAACGAAGCTGGTTTAAAGTGAGGGTTAGCGCAGGATACCTTAAGGAATAAACTCTGCCATGTTATTAGGTTTAGTTACTTCGTTGCATTATCGTTTATCTCTTCGCTTGATGTTCGATCCGTCCTGTTACTTGTTTTAAACATAGGAATCTTCAGCAATTGATCTGTATCTTCGTTGCACGGACGAAGAGCAGAAAATCATGAAACCGAGAAATATAAAAATTGTTCACGAAAAAAAAATATCCTATAATCTTTATCAACATAAAACTGGTTGCAACTCTAAGTCCTGATTCATTCTTCCTGGCATTCAAACATAATGCAACACAAATTAATATTCTCATTCTACAATAAAGTAAAAAAGAAAAGAATCTTCTTAGATGAAATCAAAGTTGAAATAATTGCGGGACAAAGACAAGAGATAAATTAAAAAAAATAAAATCCACTTCTGAATGCTCCGATCAAATTCATCGCAGAGACCAATCATTTATCTATGTCTCCATCATACGAAGTCTTCGAAAGTACGTCGTAATTTCATATTTCATTTTCTATCCCTGCGTGGAGCATAAAGTCATCGAAACCGTACTGTAATGCGATGTACTTTGAGGTGATATGATTCAGTCAAAAGTTGCAAAGCAGAACGTGCCGAGTGCAACCGTAACTCGATATTAAACTATAAGGGTTTCCATGCGCGGCATAGATCATAATCATTGCGAAATGTCGAGGACGACGGTCGAATCGCGACGAGTCGTAGCTAATATTTAAGCGCGTACACGATATAGGAAGGTATTGATCACGAAAGATACGTTTCACGATGTCATGATTTTTAATAAGAGACATTACGTCTGTTTACAGGCGTATATAAAGAAGGAACTGGGTAAAGTGGTGGTGTACACAACGACCTCTGGTATCGTGAGGAAAACGTTCTACAACTGCAAGAAGGTGAAGCAAATTCTGAGGACGCATATGGTCAAATACGACGAGTTGGACCTGTTTGGCGACGCAGAGTTGCAGACCGAATTGAGAGATCGTTTGGGCTCCACGGTGATACAGTTGCCGCAGCTTTTCATTGATGGACAACACATCGGGGTATGTAGATTTATAATATACATATAAATTAGTTCTTCATGCTGGCACAAGTAATTATTGATTCATGATTATTCACGAGGACATTGTTTAAAAAACAGAAGAAGATCTGAAACTTGAGATTTGATCTTGGTTGATTATTTTTACTTTTATTTCATATTGTAATGATAGCGAATTTTTGTACTCTCATGTAAATAGAAAATTTTTGTGTGATGCAAAATGTTACTGCTACCATTATAAATGGCATTAAAAAATAGAGTGAAGTTTCTTAGTAACCTTTTGCCAATATCTTTCATAAAAACACAAATGATCGATGTAAAAAGATTAGGTCAAACGTATCGGATACGGTGAAGTTTGTTTTCACTATTACACTAATATTTTATGATATATCGTAGATTAAACTAATAAAATTCAATAATATATCATTGCATACAATATAATATAATCGTATAATAATAAATTTCAATTTTAAATGGCTAATAAATTTTGTAATGGTGCATGTCAAATGATTACAAAAGTTTATCTTTCCATTTTACATATTTTCTACTAATACAAAACCATAAAATCTCAAATCCATATTCTCGATAAAAACGAATCTTTTGAAAATGTCCAAAATTCCGTACAATTTTCCACGCGGACCTAATACTCTTCAAATTATGTGCAAGCGAATAGTTTCTAGCCGAATGATCGTATGCTAACACAGCAGCAAGGTTAAATCTATTTACTGAGTACTCTTGTTAATACCGTGGTAGATAATTATCGCTGTTTATCGAGGTCATTATTAGAACGCGCAACTAATATATCGGTGTATTTCTTAGCATAAAACTTGAACGAACGTTAGAGGGAAATTGGTCCTCGCCGGCACGTGTTCCACGTGTTCGCACTAAGGTTTACATTCCACGATTATCAACGAGAACGATGTTGAATAATGAAACGTGAGCATCTGCTGGTGAACGTTTCGACATACTGTGTTCGACGCTCGTCAAACAGGTCTCTTCGTCGTCATCGATTTTCTCGCCTACGGGAAAATGTAATCGTTTCTTTCCAAGCACACGACATCCCTTTCTCCCATAAGTGCCGTTACTCACTAAAGACTTGCTCCTCGGCGAATACATTTGCATTAAGTTTAAGAGAAGATACGAGCTTCTATGTGCGTAGTTCGAACCAGTGTGGCGCGCCAATCACGGCTATATGGATGACGCGTGAGGGACGCACGAACAAGTAGATTTGGTCTGTATCGCATCGACACATTCTACTTAGGGACACATTTTATTGAAAATGAGTAGCGCAATGTCGTTGGAATCTGGTAACGCTGTGGTAATGTTGAGCGATTCGATAGGTTTATGAGCGTGTGATTATGGAAATAGATATAAATATATTGCTGTTGGAAATAGATATAAAGCTCAATGTAGCGTTATTGGAAATATGAAGAACGATATTAGAAATATAAAACTTTTGTTAGTGCTGTTAGTAGTAGTTCCGTTAGAAATCTAAAGCTTAATGCAGCACTGTTAAAAACATAAATCTAGCAAATTACATCGCATCGATAGTGTGCATTGAGCCTTAATGTACATTCAATAGCGGGATCCCACGGCCGTGTGCGTTGCATTATTAAAAGTGTAAATTCGCCGAATTGCACAGCGAAATTATAGCGATATTGAATCCCCCGTCTGCATTGGGTTTCGCGATGCATCGCACGATATGAAATTCGATCAGCCAATAAATTTACTGTACCTTCGGTGCTAATAATTTTTGAATCGTCAAATTTAATCATCAATTTTGACCACCTAATAATTTGTAATCTTTCGCCGACCGAGTCATCTACGATTGGTCGATAATAATAATATGCAACAGCACATATTTGTGGTCTCGTTGGTTTTCGCGTGAATTTCTCGCAAGGCCGATGTCGTATTGCACAACTAATGTCCGCACGTTTGAGAAAGCTGAGAGGACGCGACCAGGAGAAATCAACTGAAAATGTCAAAGATGACAGACGAGCGCCGTCGCTTTGAATAGGCTCGCAAACCGGAAATCTGCGGTAGACACAACGCACAGTTACGCAATTGATACACGAGAAAGTCCTTTGTATGCCGCATCTGCACACGTTTTAACGGTCGTTCATCGATCATAAGATTTCAAGAAGTTTCAAATTAGTTATGCGGACATTGCTTTACAATCGCGCCGCGCCGGTTTGCAACGGTTCCACATTAGTGATTTCTTTCTTGCTGCGTCAGAAATTGTTCTGCAGAAGCGCGCTGTTCCATGGTTTTCGCGATTCATCGAAACTTCGAGAAGATTTCGTGGTAACTGTTGTACTGCAATATTCCAAAGAAATTGAAACTAAAACTTTACCAATGATATATACAAATATACGAAATAATTCTATATTACGTAACAATCCAATTACGTTATATCTACTAAATCTTTTCACAATATTCATCAGCAATTTTTATATTCCTTATGTATTTTCATATAATTTCAAACATTCTACCTCATTAGAAATATTTAATAGAACTTGGTTTCACATTTGTGTTTATTTCCTCCAATAAATTCCAAGGAAGGGACCGTAGCCTGTTCAAACAGCTAAAAACAAAGGTTGAAGATAAAAATGCAATTTTCACTTATAGGGCTTAAAGATCGTTATTTCCCAGTGGAAGCTCACGGTGTAGTTTCGCAATTCAACGTTGACACGTGAAAACAAAAATAAAACCGTAATGGAATTTCTGAATGACGCGAATATCACGGGAGTAGGTTTTCGGTTTCGGTGTTGCGTCCAGCGGAACAGATGATTTTGTGTTTGTTATTTTTCTTGCAGCGCGTTCGTGATGATCGTGTTTCTCGCGACTCTCGGTTATTACACGCGTCGCACACTGCTTTTCTGCTACGTTTACGGCGATACTTTTACTCGTTTTACCAGTCGAATGCACGAAGAAAGTTTCGTATGGTGTCAGGTTCTGCCTCTATTTACGCTTTGATTGTTCATGCAGAAGATGATGCTTCTGATATTGTTTTTCGACTTCAAAATCAAATCTGCCCGTCGCACCGGCATCCTTTACTAAATTGAGAAACAATCATAAAAAAGGGTAGGATCGGTGGAAGGGAATCTAGTTCCTTGAATTTATTCGGATTTTATGGCCTGAGAGAGGAACGTTTAAAGTTTTAGTTCACTGAGTATCAAATAGGAAGCTAGGGAGGAAAAATTTTGATAAAAGGCACACTCAGGCATAGTTTTAATTAAAGATCTTCTACTATATATGCCATTTTCATGTTTCTTGCGAGGTTGTACTTCTATATGTAGAGGATTAAAACTAAAAAGTGCTACACCAATGTACAGAGATATTCTTGAAGATTTCTGTATGGATACATGTAAGTAGACGCCTTATAACGTCAATCATGTAATACTGGAATCCGAAGGATCGTCATTTTTACAAAAATAATAAGTATTCATCATTCAATATCTCATGGATAGAATAAACCTTGTCAGGGAAGACAAAGGAATTGAATTTTACAATCACATGCTGAGTTGGACTTAAGATAAAATCGATTTAAATAACTCTAAACAAAAACCATTATTATCTCAGGTTACAGTATGATTACCATAATGTTATTAAGAAATATTCTTTAATATATTTGAGTCGTCTCAATACGATCATTGTATCTGATTCGTAGAAGTTTTAGTACACTTTCGAATCACACGTACATCTCAGTAATTAACTTGAACCAAACAACAACTACAAATTAATTTTGTAAATTTCGAGCCAACCGATTGTCCTACTTATCACAACATTATTAGATGTAAAATCTGTCCATGCAGTAAAATTATGTAACCTACAACCTCTCGCTTACCTACTAATAATAAGTATAACTATTATTGCTTAAAAAATTATCGTTTAAGATAGAATGATAAAACTTCTAGGAAGATAAAGATATTAGAGATCACGTCTATATTAAACGCATTGACCGTCAAGTATAACCTAGTTGGCGAAGATTAAGGAGTAGAAGTAGAAATTATGATAACAAAACATCGTGACCTTGTTTCCTAACTTCACCAATTTCCTCTTACTTAAACTGATAAAACAAAAGCACATTTTGTGCTGGTGTCGTGAAACAAGTTCTCGTAGCGCTTAATGCCAGTCGAAATGGAACAAACAAACGTGCAATTACATGCCGTGCAATTAGACGCACGCTCCGATAGTGGCGCGGTGCGCAATTACGTCGCAACACGCCGACTAATAAATTGCATCATTGGGAGGCTGGAGAAATTCCGATCGCTCGTGAACGAACTGCGGCCGAAAAATTACGCAATTTCAGGGAAAATTGAGCGTTAGAGATTTCCCAGATCGACGCGAGGTATGTATGCATTCGCAGCAAATATTTTACGATAACAGATTCACAGCATTGTTGTAAAACTGGCGAATTTATTTTGCTCTTCAAGACGTTCTCTTCGTTACCGCTAAAAATCCACTTTCGAGTTGTATATTTCACTTTCGAGCGTTTCTAGCGATAAAATTTCCGAAGTTTGAAGTACAAACTCCTTGTACGAATTATATTTGAGTAGTAACAATCCAGTGATTGAGAGAGGAAGGAAAAAGGTTTAATGATATAATTATGTGCTTCCGGAAGTTAACAGTTTTATTAATGTGAAAGATTTTTGTGATAGGGAAGTGCACATAAATATATTACGAAATATCTTTTTGTTTATGAGACTGCTCGTTTTAATAAAGATTTAAGGACACCTTCTCACGATTCTCTTCTCATTATTGTTTGCCATCACCGCTGAGAATCATGTAGTTTTTCCCATATCCTAAATTAATTTTAATATGTACGTAATATAAATATATGTATACAATGTAAGGTAACATGAATTTATAAATAATTTTTTGGATGTAAATACATATTAAGATTTCTAATTTGTATGTTATTAATAACTCTTATATTATAAATGCTCTTCTGCTCATCTATTTACAATATCCACATAAGTAGCATTTTTTCAGTTATTTCTTAAGAAAGCGAAGAAAGTGAAAGCGAAAATGGAATGCAGCTTAGGAATCATAAAACGAAATTACTTCGGGTTTAATAACAGCTAAGTTGGCCCTCACCTTTTCAACACTGTGACATTTTGCTACTCATTTCACATTTTGTATCATTTCACCGTGCTATAGTTAGAAATAGAAAGAAGTTATTAAACGTAATCATCGTTAAGGCTTTCCATTAATGCGAATAGCTTTCCTTGGAAACAATTCTTAATGTTTCCCTTCGCTTTCTCGCGCTCTTTTATCAACTTTCAAATTTAATTCTTGTATTTCTTACTCTTGTGATCCTTTTCATTCTCTGCTGTTACATGATTGGAAATATGTCAAAGGAATATTATATACGTTAGAAAAATATAAAGGAAGAAGGTTGAGATATTTTTAAAATAAAAGAATAATATAATATTATGAGATGAAAATAGTTCAATCTAATTTTTAATAATATACTAAAAAATCATTAAGCAATTATTCTTTTCGAACACACCAAACAATATACTTCTCCACCAAGAATCTATCAATCACAAGACATCAAGACACAAAACACGAAAGCTTCGATTTCACAATTTCAGCCGAATTCTGTCGCGTTCGCAATCAATTCCAGTTCTTCGGAACAAACGACGAATATATAATATCATTTGGTTCTCTGAACACGTATCGAGGGAGCGTATCTCCCATCAACGCCATCGCAATTGCCCAATTTCACCGAGTGTCTCGTCGCGTCGCGGCGCTGGATATCAGAGATCTTGTTGATTGAACGCACGGTTGCATCGTCACTTTGGTCACTCGCGATAATCGTCGAGCGCATAAACGCGAAATGTCAAACCGCTCGATCCAAGGTCTATCGAGAGAGAAAGAGAGGAGAACAGAGAAAAAGCGCGAAAGAGAGAACGAAAGTGAAGTGGATTGTGTATAAGGCACCGCGGTCCCCTGTGGTCCCTGTCGAGCGTGTATAAACGAAACACACCGCGTTCCAACCGCATTCCTCATCGACCGCGCCACGTGATAGTGTACGGATACACTACTAGCTTCGAAAAACCTACAAAATAGATGGCCAATGTGGCATTCGTATCGTTTGCATGATTCTTCGTTTGAGACTGTTTTTATGAATTCGTCTTGTCGCGACATGGGTGACGAATTGGAATTGGTGAAAGGCATCGATCGTTCGTTTTTTCGTAATAGGTTACGACAGACGTGCGTGGATATCGAAAGTAGAATAATATCGTTGGATGTTCCCTTGAGGCACGTTCCAGGTTTGGTATTTGAAAAGGGAGTGGGTTGAGTTTAGGATTTGAACGAATGAATTAATTGTATGTATTATTGATAGAAATTACCAATTGATCGATAACGAATTCATTGTTCGGTTGAGGAGGTTTGGTAATGGTGAGAGACGCGGTTTTATCTATTAACGAAAGATAACAATACGAATATTTACGAATATGATACGAATATTTGGAATTTGAATTGCTGAAATGACTAGTCACTTTACAATTCCAAATTTGAGTAAAACTGTTATCAATAGCGAGTCGTAGTGAAAACCTTCAACAGTAGTTTCCATTTAATACCGGTTTGTGTCTCACGCTTTAATGTCGAAACATTTCCACGGACCGAGTTAAAAATTGAGACACGTTTTTACAGATCACCTATACTTTATTTGCCAATTCCTTTCACTGGAAACCAAACCGCTATCCTGTCCCATAAAAATAAAAGAAACACTGGAAAGTAATAAAAGACATGCGAGGTAATGGATAAACAGGCACTATTAAAAATCATTGGAGTACGTAACTGTTTAAACAGCGAAGTTTCATAAAATGTTCATTACCAACAGCTGTTGTCACGTGTGTGTGATAACGCGGTACCGCTAAACGATCGGTGATAAAATACCGTGAAAATAGAGAAAACGTTTGACAGCAAAACCAAAGCGATTATAGCGGCTTTTACTTGGTCATAAATATTTTAATACGCGTCTCTTCGTATATAAGCTTACGCGACCTTCCACCGTCTCTGTGCAATGAAACGCTTTGTAATCGCCAGTGATTATCGCATATTTGAAATTAAAATCGTCTTGTCCGACTGCGCCCCTTGCGAATGAAACAAACTCCTACGAAAAACAAAAAGAAAATGCCCAGAAATTCTGCGTGTTCTTGTTAGCTTTGATTGTTAAGTTCCATTAATACGAAGTTGTGGACGATGTTCGTGTCACTAAAAGTTGCTTCTTCTTACAGGGATTCGACACCGTAGAGCGACTCAACGAATCTGGAGAGCTGAGAGAAATGCTTAAGCCTTACCAGGTAATTAAAAGTTCCATTTTACAAATCAGCATTTTCATTAACACTTGCAACAGATACTTTTTGTCGGTGGCTATTTGAGTAATTAATTGACTATTGGTGGTTACATATTTCCTTTCCTTTAAAATGTTTGACGGATAGTGATCAATTTTTGTAAAATCAGTATCGATTTGCAAGGATTTAAAGAGCATCTCACCACGTGATTGATTCTTTTATATACGTTACTATAAATATATAAAAGTTGCTGCTAGCCTAAAATAATGTTGATTGAAGATTTCTTGTTTATCTTATTATAAACTTCTGCGCAAAGAAAATTTCAATGTTATAATTAGTTTTATAAAAATAGCTGGTCGATTGACCTTGGTGTTAAAACTATTTTTATAATTTAAACTCAGCTTTTACTTAAAAAAATCTGCTTTTAATAAAACTGAGAAAATTGTGACGAAAAAAGTGTAGCAGAGAAAAATTTTCTAAAGATTGGTAGAAAGCAATTGATCATCTCTCATACGTAAGGTATACAGCTAATGTAGTGTGCAGTTCACAACTTCGTAACTTCGTTCGGATCCAATATTGTAACAGAATTACAAATTCCAATATCACGTCAATAATAATAAATCGTATCAGCATCTAATGACATTATATTATTCCTCCACGTAATTCCTCTATTATCAAACTGAATACATACCACGAATTCGATATTCTTACAATTCGATTCAATTCGCCAAAGAATTCAGTTCCATTAGCGTATCGAATTCTGAACACGCGGATTTTACCACAATCTTTTGTCACCGTGTAATTCTGAGGAAGAATTACAGAGAATTCTGCCAATGTTCCTCACGCCGGAGAATTATTTGACCCTTTAAGAATTCCGTGACGGTTCCGAGAATTCGCTACGTAACTATGTTCCATGTCTGTGGAATATTTATACCGTGTAGTAGAATGGAACAGCTGTGCCAGGCATTATACACATAACTGCGTGTTGGCGGACGATCGTGCGCGCGCGTAATCCGTCGCGAATACAAGGTTGTACAATCCTTTCACTTTTATCCGACGATATCTGCCTCCACCTTCCTTTTCCATCGCGATCATAAATTTCGATGTCGTGCAATTGAAGTTTACCTTGCAGCGAATAAAGGTCGTTTACACTGTCGCTACCACTATCACTTTCCTGATATTCTTTCCGTGCTGTCGGCCCTTAAATCTTGTGGTCGTCCTTTGGATTCATGCCAGCACAAGGACATTTTTCCCCTCCATGCAAGGTCTATAAATTTTTCAACGAATCCTTCGAAAATTAATACCTTGACGTATTTAAAAATTGCTACTTGATCGTTACATTCGATTATTTCGTTCAGTATCCATAAAACCCTATCCAAAGTTGGCAAATGCTTGTAATTGTTTGCAAAAGTTTGCGTCAAAACCAAATTAAAACGTATTTTCATATACGTTCGTCGATCCATAGAAATGTAATAGCGAATTTTCTCTGATTTACTGTTATGACTTCAAACATTCTCAAACGCTTGCGATAGTTTGCGGTTGCTTGTTGTCCGTAAGGCTATATGTCTCCACTGAAAGAAATTTTCCGCAGATAGTAAAATACACTTTAGTATAAAAATCGAGACACGATTAGTGTCTACGATTCGTGTAAGGTAAATGTGTCTCTGATTATCTTGCAATAAGAATGAGATTGAAGAGGTGAATAGTTATTATGTAACTGGTTGGAATAAGGGCTAGTTTAGTTGGAAGAAATGGTGGATGAAGGATGCGCATTATGTAATTCCGTGTGCGATCATGTTAACGCATAAATCGAGTAATTAATCTAAAAATTGCGTATAAAAATCTATACATTTCAAAGTGTTAGATGTTAATATTAATGATATATTCTATATTAATAGATTATTGAGATGAAATTATTAGTCTTCTAAAGAAAAGATTTAAAATGTTGGATAATATATATAACTTTGTCTAATTAGATATATGATCGTTATCGCGTTGATGTTAAATCAAGTCATTAATGATTGAATAAACTTTATATAACAATTACAATTTCAAGAAAACATTGCCTCCGAGAAATTAAGAGAGTGAGTTGTGAGAAAAACAATAATATCCTATATTTTTCTTTGAATGAAAGTTAATTACCGACTCATGTGGTGTGTCAGAAAGACGCGTAATTAAACGACGCCCACGATATACCCTTTTCCCCCCTATCTCTTTACGCAATACTTGCATAATCTATCATCGTTATTCTAATCTTCCTCCGTACGATAAGCATGTAGTTTATGCGTGTAACGTGTATATAAGATTTATTTCATTAACACTTTGAATATCAACCACGTCTTGTCATTTACAAGGCTGCCGTGTTACATCGATATTATAATGAAGTTTACTTATCGTTGGACGATATTTTATTGGATTCGGAAAGTATAGCCGCAGAGATTGGACACTGACTTCTCTTCCATCTTTTATATATATTATATGTTTAATTCTTCGATTGTGATACATTATATAATATTGCGAAAAGGTAGGAACATTTTAATTTGTCATCAAAGCGCGTGTTAAACACACGACAAAGAGGATTAAAGTAAAAATACTGAAATTCCGACGTGTTTCGAAATCGAGAGCGTTGAAGTCAAGGAAGTTAAACAAACAATTTCGTTTCTCACATCGTCCACTCTCAGCTTGATGTATATTCGTCGTTTTTGCGAAGAATGCAATTGAAAATGAGTAAAAGTGAAAGCGATGTTGGGCAACATCGCCGAACACACCGCGTGCGCTGAAAACTAATGCAGAAATAAGAATCGTCACGCTTCTTTTATAATCGTTGAATGATAGAGTCCAGCAATTATTCGAGCATTAGGTAATGTGAATGGAATTGCTACGGATGATCAAATCAGAAACACGATCGATAATTCGGAACATTAAGCCAGATACACATTTGATACGAAGATATTAATGTTAAAATATGCTTGATTGCGCAACTCTCCACTCTTTAATTCTAATTCTAAATCTGCCGAGTATTTTTCTACTGTGCGAGTTTTCTACTTAGATCAAAGCTTAATTAAAATTCCTTCTTCGCTTTAAACACATTCTTGAACTTGCCTCACGTACACGCTCTGCATTTAGAATTCATTCAGACACACGTTTCAATCTGAACAGCGTGATGCAATTAATCATCAAATCCCCTCATAGGAGGTGTGATCTGGGTGTTTATGAAAGATAATTTCCAGCTACTGTAATATGGTTACATTCAAAATACTTTCCTCCCATAATTATACAGCTATTGTTAGTCTACCATTGTTTTACTACCGGAAATACTCAGAGTATTCACGACGATTATATTTCTCAATAGGGCTATTGACTTCTTTCTAATTGTCTAGACATCGTTATTACGAGTCTAGAATAGCTCTTTTCCTCTAACAACGATTAAACAAGAATAGTATAATAGGATATGAGAAGATGAGTACTATATTGGAATACTAATAGACAATGAAATACTATTGTAAAATTTACTACATGTATTATATTTCCTTCAACAAGCTTCTTCATTTTTAGTCGCCATTAACGCATCGTGTAATCAAACATACAAACATTTCATCTCATGTACCCAGTCATAACTTCAATCTAAGGCTTCCCAAATGCAAAAGTTCATTCATACCACTATCCACAGAAAAAAGAGGTAGAAAAGGAAAAGAAATAGTTACTCATCTCTACATCGTTGACTTTTATTTCAGAGCGAAGACGCGTGCACAGTGTGTCTATTCTGCGGCGGTTACCAATGGCAGCTGTGCCCGGTTTGCAATGGCAGCAAGAGGTCTGTTCATCGTAACGACTTCACCGCGGAATTCGTCGCCCTGAAGTGCGCGAAATGCGATGTGAACGGTCTGATTCGCTGTCCCCATTGCTGAGGCATCAAAACGGAAGAAGAAAACGGCGAGCACGTGCTCGAAACGACATCGTATCCCCGATACTGGCATCGAATCGCTAGCGTTACACGTTCCCCTATCTAAGACTAAGGTGCTACAAGAAGTATATTGCATGTTAAACACGTTATGGAGAAGTTCTTGCTGTCGTGTCGCGAACAACGAACAGATCTATTGTACGATCAGTCGCATATCAAACGATCGCCGTGCAAGCGCTGTCTCGACTTGAATTTTTTCATTCACTTCCGTTCCATTCACACGAAGAGCTTCGTGGCATTAGATATGATTTATGGGAAGCACTCATGGAAATTCGAGATAAAACGGCGCCGGCACGCTCGATCTTGAATACCGAGCACGATTCGCAGACGCTGATCGCGAGACCGTGCACGTGAACTGTAAAATATCGACTAATAAAGCTTATCTAATGTTTTGTAACATGCAACTCGTGTATTTGTCTCTTCGTATTTTATTGCAGTCCCGTTTCTTTCCTTTTTCCTGTGAATTTTGCGACTCGAGTTGTATATTTTTATTCTGCATATTTCTCCACGAAATATTTATTTTCCATGGAATTATAATTCCATGGAATTATCATTTACTTCTCTCCGTCACGTCTAAAACTGATATTTTGTATTAAACAGCGTCCATGTTACACTACCAAATATCCTTGACCACTTCCTCCCCCATTTCAAATTCCAGCTGTTTCAAGCACATTTAAGCTCTGTTCATAACCGCAATTTGAAAATGAAATAATACTCGTAATAAACGAGCACATACTCTCCCAAATTTGTACGTCTCGCCATTAATACATTGGGTATAGTGTTAGGTTAGCATTCAGTTAAGGACCGACGCTCCACCACTATAAATGCATTTACATATGTATCTAACAATTTGAACTACTCATTTCTGAAACAAAGCAGGTGTTTATTTTCCATCGAAACAAATTTCAATTCCATGAAAAACCAGACACATTCACATTGATTGGTTTCTTTGGTTATTTGTATAACGGTAATAGGAATACAGGTGTCACGCAGAATAATTGGCACACTTTCGTTTTATACATGATCTGATTATCACGCAAGGAAGCTATGCAATTAATGCTAGACGAGCCATGTTTAATTCGTTACAGATCGAGATTCGAATCTTTCTTGTACGCTCCTCGAGATCCAATGACTTATTACGAGATGACTTTTCCACGAATCCTGAATTCTCCCAATAATACATTCGCGATTTCCTTTAACACTGTAGCTACCGTATTTCCAATTTCCAATTACAATTAATGGATCTCGGCTAAAAACATAAATACAATAATTTATATATTTAATATCAAAATTAAATTAAGTGAATCGATGCAAATTCGAAATAATATACAGGATAATTCGCGTAATTTGAAATTAAAATGTAACATTGAAAATATGGTACAATAATTATATAAACAATGTTAGACGTTTAATTGCAAATATTTTCCTTTGAAAATTGCATAAACTTCGTACCAGGAATTTCTTCGTGGCATGAACAATTTACAAATATTCGAAGTTATCGAATTAGATAAATCATCTTGTATCCTTAATCATATGCAATTTATTGACAAGCGCTGAAACTATAAATACGGATTACTTTGCAACGTACAGATAAGGTACTTTAAAGAAAAAGGGATGCATTAAAGCCGGCCGACGTAATTAACGACGGAAACGATAACTGCGGGACTGATTCTGTAGCACCGGAATTCACGTTGGAGCTTCCTTTAACGAGCCACCCTTTAAACTGGTCGCCTTAAGTTCAGTGGGTTACAAACTCGCTTAATCCGCGGTGTCGGGGTAAACTTTGTGTCATCCACAAGTCAGTGTCGCAGTTACTTAATCGATACAGCTTCCATTTCCATTGATAATCCGTTCCCGCAGCGTCGGCTACCTGGTTTAATTTTGTACCACTGTTTTAATACACTAAAGATAGAATGTATTTTCAATGTCATGTGATAATTTTATATTACAATAAATTGTAAAATACAAATATTTGTTTCTATTGATTTCTGAAATATTTGTATCCTAAATATTGATTTCTGATCAAAATTTATTCTGAAAAACTAATACCTTTTAAGCATAATTTGTCCTTTAATACATGCTTTTAATATCGCATTTAATATTTATTTCGATATTTGAGAAACAGAGAAGCAAAATATAAAGTATATCGAGTATCGTAGATTAAATACGTGAGTAATGCATTAATTGATCTCCTATCTTACTTGGTTATTAAGGGAAAAACAATATCAGATAGAAAATTTCAGTTTAATTAAACCTCTGCTCTCGCCATCTTATATTATGATTTTATGCACCATATCATTTTAATTATACCTACATTGAGGAAAAACATAACTTGCATATCTTTGTATTTGATAGATACAGTTACTCATAAAATTAGTGATGATTAAAACTTGTTCTTTATCAAGATCTAAAACTAATTAAGGAAGTTGAGCAACTTTAAACAGGTATAAGAAATTTTTATTAGTTTTTCTAATGAGATCCCGACAAAGCGGCAATGCAAACAGTCAAAGATAACTTTGATATTTGAGAATTTCTTGAAATACTAACATCTTGGTCAGCGTACTTCCTAGAATTTCTGTAAAAGCACTTTTTAATGTACGACAGCGTTGTCCTTCGCCTAAGGAATATTTACGCCGCCTGTTAAGCGAAAATCGAACATTAAAAACGATACCATAAAAAAAGAAGTTCCAAGGAGAATATTTCCATAAATAAACCATCGAAGAAAATTAATGTACAAAACGTTTTTATGACCTTGATTCTGAAGTAAATCGCTTTGTTTTCGAGTGATCTCCGATGACCGAGTATTTTTTAGAGCAACAGCCTGCGAGAGAACTGGTTCACGATTATTCAGTCTCGTTCCTCAAAGAAAAGAAGGTTTCGAAGGTTATCCCCACAGGAAAAAAAAGAGGAAAAATAAAAAGTATGATACAACAACGGAACAATGGTTTTATACTCGGCTGCATTTAATTGCGAAGGCTGAATCGCGAGGCATAAAGTAGGTTTTGTCAGGGCGTCCTGAAAAAAAATATAGGACACAGAACGTTCTATGAAGGATTGTCGCCGCTAACGTCCAGGAAAGACGTACTTCCTGTTCGTTGACTTGCCGCTTTTAATTGCGGAATCCGCGACATAATGGCGTGTTAGATATTCACGATTCTCTCACGCGTGTGAAGCTTATCGTGTACATACGGGATACGCGTAGCGTGGGAGTCGAGTCTTCTTCCAATGGATATTTTCACGTATTTATACGACGAAATGCCAGAGAAGGGCTTGTTTGGCTCGTCCCTACAAACATTCTACGAGATATATTGGAAAATCCGAGGATCAGTCGTATTTTTACAAATGGCCAATCGTGCTTGGCGAGGTCCATTTTTCCAGATTATATTTTATTCCAGTTTATTAATGTTTCTCTTCATGCAGAAAGCTTAGATTGATAGGTTCTATATTTTAAGATTGAAGGTCGCAATTTTCAGAAACTAGTAATACGTATTTATTTGGATATTTAAGAAAATACTTGAAATTACGAACTACGATACATAACGACATTGAAAGCCGGCTTTTTTTAATGCGTACACAAAAGACTGAAAAGAATCCTGTATCAACATTACGATATAACGATGTAAAATTATTTTTAGAAAGTACTCGAAAGTTTAGCCGCAAATGGCAAATCGAAAAAGCATTTTTCATGCATAAATACAAAGTTACACAATTACAGTTACCTCCAAGCAAAAGATAACAAATTTATGCCACTTTTATAATCACCAGAGCTACTACCCTATACTGTAGTAAGCCTCCTAGTGTTGCTAGTAGAGTAGGTCTACATTAGGCGGACACGCAATCTTACGTGTACCACATTTACATTTTCAATCGCAAAAGGGATAAAACGGTTGAATAAAGTGCTAATGAATATTTTCATACGATTATTTTTCTATTGTTGTACGTGATAACGAAGGTTTAATTATCGGGCAGAAACTGGTAATCGTTTTAACGTTTAACACGGTCGCGTGTCACCGCGATGGAGGCGCTATTGATTGCATACGCAACAAGTCACGTCGATATCCAGCGTTCTGTGCGGGTCAAAAAGTGCATTTACTATGCATGGGCAACAATTCACTACTATTAGTGTTGCGACAATAGTGATTTACGACAGAGTGCTAACTATCGAACTGCAATACACGAGCCCTCCCATTGAACCGTGTATTTCTATAGCAACAAAATTCGATTTGCCTAATTTAAAAATCGATCGTATCGATACGACAAATATTTCATATCGTTCCGTTTCATTTTATTTGCAAACGGTAATATACTTCTTCTTATACTTCGAAAAAATTGAATAGAGTAAGTTACTTTAAAAGAATGATTTATTAAATTATATATCGTGCTTCGTTCATTTTAATTTCAACATTTTAATGTGTTTAGAGATTATTATAATTTATTCGAAATTTAACTTGGAACCTATTAAAACTATTGCTATGGAAAATACACGAGAAGTACTTATCCGTCTTACATTAGCGAAATTTGGTTTAGTTTCAAAACAATCTGGAACCGGTATTTGTTAAACGCTTTGAAGCGTTTCACGTGATGCACGAACATGCAAGAGTATTTAGTAACAGGAAGTGAAACAAACGCTTGATTAACATAAAATCTATGAACCCTTCGGAGTAAATTGCAATCCTTTATTCTGATCTCGCAATAACTGCGAGTATATTAAATTCGCTAACTGAAACGGTTTCGTATCAAAAATCATCCAGCAGCCAGATTTGTATTTATCGCATTATTGTCTTATATGTACAGCCTTTGTGATCACAGAGAAGAGCAACGTGGAAAATAACAAATTGTCTCTGATCCCTTTTATTCGCGCGCGACGTATTCCGCATGGAAACTGGCTAGTCAGTCGCAATATCGAAACAATTGCGATTTACTTCGACAGAGTTGGTTTCAAAATCTATGTTAATTGAGCATTTGTTTACCCTGCTGTCTGGTACACGCGTTCGTAGAATATTGATTAGCCCTTCTTGATATTGTAATAGCAAAAATAAACATAACATAAACCTCAAGCCTCGCGGTAGATGTTCATCACATTTACGCGTAAAAATAAACGAATATTTTATAATAGAAATTACGTAAATCGTCTTTGAACCGTGAACGTAAATAAAACGTGATTTAAATTTAATAATATGCACCAGTATAATATAAATTTGTTAGCGTTGGATATATTCCACCCTTGTCAAACCATCCTTCTAAATTCTCTTTTAAACTCCACTAAAGCTCTTCATTCGACCTAGAAAATCCTCAATCTTATACATGTCTGCTGGAAACCGCCATAAAACCTGCCTGTAACCTTCAAACGCTTGTAGACACTTTATTTCCTAAAACATCAGGGTCTCCTTTTACTTTTCCAAAC